ATTTCTTATTAATTATGAAGGCTACTCCATTTCTTCGATGTTCCTCTTGTCCGCAGTAGTAGATCTACATGATTAGAATTGCTTAAAAATGGTGGAAAGGAAAACCTGAGAAATAGATAACCCTTCCCTCAAGGAGCCTCTACTGTTTATCCTATTTCAGCTTCCTTGAGTGCATCTATGCTGTAGAATGAATGCAGCTTGACACCACTTTAACTGCCTTGGCTCAATGCTATGGAATCCTGGGAGTTGTATTTCTACAAGCTCTTTAGCCTTCTTTGCCAAAGAGGACTTTTGCCTCTACACACTCCAAACCCCAGCAATACTTGAAACTATTGTGCACCCTAATTTTGGCAATGTGTTTTTTTCAAAAAAAAAAGTGCATTAGACTCAAATAAATATGGTATATTGCATATTTCCGATTTGTGGGTAATTGTTTTGTATTCCATATTTGTACACGATATAACGTATACATGAAGACATAAGCATAAGTCATAAGCACAGAATTTTTAAAAAGATGCAATATTTCGGTAAATTGTGGTAAAAAGACTGAGTTCCACTGAACACATTAAACAAAGGTTATCTTTCAGGCTCCTTTCTTTAACTTCAAAGCACCTCTGATTTTAAGTGTAATGTAGTTCCTCTAAAATAAAACACCCAAATTTAAAATAGAATTCAACGGATTTGTTTAGTAGGTTTGCAATTTACATACAAGGATTGAAAGAGGAGGGAAAGGAATGGGGTTACATAGGCTATCTGAGGTGAGGTATTGCTATGAATATCGGTATCTTCTATAAATCACTTTTAGGACAGGTACACCCCCTTTTTTAAAAATAAAATCTACTGAATCAAACTCTATCTACAGTAAAAAATATATACAGTATATATAAATCATGCTCTGAATCCCCTATCAAAGCAAGAAAACCCTTCTCCTACTTCCACTAAAAGTTCCCTGTTTACTATGAAAGGAAGCTGTGGACTCATTTTATAGCTCTCTCCCTGAAACATGATCAGCTTTTTTGAAATACTAATGAAAACATCCCTTTATAATGGGTTATGACCTAAAGTGGACAATACTATAATTTCAGATATTTACACAAAGAATATATAGTTGCAATAAGTATTTTTTTCAATAACAGTTTCTTAACACCGAAACTCTAGATCTTGATGGCATTTTCCCCAACAAAGACTACTGTTTTCCAAAAGTTTGTTTTTATATTGTAGCTTTGGCTTCTGAAAGTCTTCGGCTTGTATTCTATTGGACTCTCCTGCTGACCGAATGGCTTCTATTTGTGGAACAGCAAAGAGGAGTAATTCACCCTGTCCCACAGCAATAACTCTGTGAATCTTTAAAATGTAGTGTGAACAGTTAGAGGAATTCTACAGCAGATAAGGTGGCAGTGGAAAAGCAAAAAAAAAAAAAAAATCACATTGTTGGACACTGAGCTTTGCCTTTTAAGTCCCTTCCTATTTTGGAGCTGAATGACACCATGTCTAAAATATTTTGATGGATGGGAAGCCTCACTCTCTTGCTGGGATTCCCTGTCTGGATAATATGTTTCTTGTACTATAAAATGCCAGAGTCAACAGATAAAAAATGTTTCAAAGCAGGAAGCAACTGACTGGAACTCAGCTCTAGTCTGCAATTTACAAATCATACATACATACAATACATACAATCATTGGGTTGGATGAGACCTCGTGGGCCATCCAGTCCAACCCCCTGCCAAGATGCAGGAAAATAACATTCAAAGCACCCCTGATAATTAAAAAGTCATCCCATTAATCTGAGCTTCAGTTTGCAACCCAAGAACCTGCTGGACTGTGCGATTTACTCCTGATGAAGCACACACAACTTTGAATAGTGCCTTGTATGGGAAAACACTAACATGGTAAAGAATGAGATCTGTCCTCAATCATTTTGCTTTGGCTTCACCTTTCCTTTGGTTCTTAGCCCTAGCCCCTGTTGAAATACAGACCAAGGACTCTTATGAAATTGGAATGTGGCTCTCAAGCTTAAGGTAGTTCTCATACAATAATTTATATATTACCAGCATGATCTTTACAAAGCACTAGAAATATATTTTGGATTTGTCAGAATCTCTGATGTAGTACTGAAAGAATGTGAATGCAAACTGCTTAATAACCTCCAACTTAAAAAGAATACATCCTGCCATCTGTCAGCAGGAAAGAAAAAATAGACTACGAAGTATTCAATAATTCTGAGTAATGTGTTTAGTTCAGTTCATTCAAACAATTTTAGCACAGTGATAACAAGGCTTTCCACAACATGGCTAATAGTTCAGCTACAGATAGACAAGCATACTTTTTGTGTCCTGGAATGAACAGGAATATGTAAACTGAGTTCTTAATAGTTAAGGATTCCTTCCTGATTTTTCCTATAATGAATTCACAAATATAGTTTTCATGCAGCGTGCTCCAGATGTATATACTTGCTAAAAACTAATATCATTAAAACAGAGAGGAGACTAATTTGTCCTCCATTTGAATTATGAACTTACATTCCTCTTTGCTGGGTGAAGTTACATTCAATTCTGTCGGAAGTTGCTGGTTGGAGTTAACAGTCTGTGAAGATGGGGAGGTATTACTGTTGTCACAATTTGTTTCTCCAGAGAACAAATCCGATTGGCTGTTGCTTGTGGTGGGAGTGGACTCATCATCTGGTTGCTTCTTTTGAAATTCTATCAAGACACGAAGTTGAGGAAATCAGATGCTTAAAGCAATTACACAATCAAAATCATACCATTGTCTAATATATAGGACATATATTGTAAATTATAACTGTGTATTAAATATACAAGACAGTCATCTGCATATATTAATCACAACTTAAATTTTAGCATTGCACAATGTAATCATTTGGACAACTATTCCAGTGGAATGGCAGGATATACATTTATCTTAGTCATTTCATCCCTCTTTGTTTTTAAAGAGCAGTTAATGCAAAGTCAATAAGGCACATTTTCATCAGAAATTCTACCCCTTTCATCTATAACTCAAGAAGCATGTGAATATTTTCATTTCTTTCCAAACTGTCACTCACAAACTGAATTAGTTTAATTTATCCCAGTGATAACATCATCTCCAAATAAGGTTTATGTTTTTGCCCCTTAAGAATGTTTTAAAATGTATTTGTTAAAACTGGTAATCCCTAACTATGCCATTAATATATCTAGTCCATATGAATGGTGGCATATAAGTGTCATCAAATTTGTATATAATTCCATTTTTAGTCACACATTATGCAAATATATTATGTTCATCTTCAAGTATAGCTCCTAATTATGGAAGAAACAGTAGCTAGAACATAATACTGAAAAATATATCCAAGGGGTAAAGCATACAATTTATACATTTTTTTTTTCTTTCCTTTTATTGTTAACACTGTTTGAATTAGTGCACACAAGCACTCTCCATCTGTTTGCCACTGGCCAGGTCCATGTCTGATATATATACATTACATTTTGTAATATAATAAGATTTTTGCAGATTCCATGAGAAACTTTTGCTTCAAAAAGGGCTCCGCAGCTTAAAAAGTTTGAGAACCCCTGGACAAGAGAATAGATAACCTGCATACAGTACATATAAATTGAAGACAATATGAGAGAAGATAACTCATTTCAACTCGTATAAAGAAACCAAGCAGAGAGCTGGAAGACCAAGCAGCTTCAAAGGTGGCAAACAGGATTCACAATATAACCACAAAAGAAGGTAATATAATGATCAACATTTTAGAAAGAGTACTTTTTGGGCATAAAAATAAAATAGCATCTTTAAAAATTTTTTCCAACAGTTACAAGTTATGGGTAAGGAATAGCTAGAAAATTCTGACGTTTTAATAATAAACGGATTTTTATTTCTAAAGAACAAACTGCTTTGACTATTGTCAAATTAACTGTGAACACTAAGGGGAATTCCAGTGCAGTATTAATTATTCCAAACATAATATATTCCATATATATTCTTGTGAGTGTGCAGTACATGTAATTATTAATTTTAGCATTGCATGTTCTAGTATGTTTGACGGTTCACAATTTTTTTAAAAACAAATGTATGTGAATGGAAGGACTAAGTGACTTTATCTTATTTCAGGGGCAGCTCCTCCTGCTCCAGGTGTCAATGAAGATGCAAAAGGGACATCATACTTCTTACTTGGCTTGAACAACATAATACTCAGGCAATATATACTCAGGCAGAAAAAGGGGAAAGCTGCCTTAACACAACTCTCACCAACACCCAACAGGAATGGTCATATATGTAGATAACCGCTTTATCCAGTGCAGAGCACCATTTCAAGTTAAGCATTCCTCTGAATTGTGGTCTTCCTAATTTGCCTTTTATTTTCATGGAACAAAGAATGAGTTAGGTGTTCAAAATGTGCGGTAAAATCTTAGCATTCCCCTCCTATTTTGTCTTTTAGAGAGAGCACATCTTGAAACAAGGAAGGCAATCACAGATGTCCTTATAAAAAGAAGGGGAAAGATGAGGAACGGAACAATAACAGATTGATACCCACTCTGATAACAACCACTACAATAACCAAACTACTTTTGTATTACCCAATACCTTACTAAAAAAATAAGATAATTATTTTCGTGGGTGAGCAGTTGAGCATCTTTTTCTGAAATATAGTATCTAAATATATACCTGAGTCAGATTTTTATTGGGCTATATTGTTGATGAACTGAATCTGGCTTTTATTATATATTCAGTTCATAACTGTTTCTTTTCAAGTTGTGGTCTCTTCCAACACTATGATTCTAAGATTCACTCATTCCTTTTAGTACATGAGAAATGTGGGTTTCTAATACTCATGCAACTGTTTCCTTTCCCCCCAAGCTTGGATCAGTGTTGTGAGATGTGGTAGGAAAATCATGGATGGGATTTTTTAATCTTCATACTGCATGATATATATATATATATAAAAACCTACGCCAGCTATTAGAATATTCACCTTTTGAATCTGCTCAGACTTATCTGAATCAGGACATATAAGGATAAACAAAATGTCAATTGTATGTTCAGTTCTTTCAACAAAAAAACACATTTTTTTCTGAAAACTAGTAAAAAATGCAAAATCACACTTACTTACGCAAATATCTTTTATATAAATGAAAGGTAAGAGACAGAGAAGTAGTCATTGCTTTTACACTCAAATCCATAGTGGGCATTAACTGTTTTCCCCAATTTACACCTAAATTCAAGGGAATAAAAAAAAATCTGAAGAAATTCATGTCAAGCTACGTTGATTCTTTTCCAGAGACTATATTTTAAGCATACCCAACTGGCCTAGATTACGTTATACTGTAAGCAACAATGTAAAAAGACAGCAATTTGCTAGAACTGTAAAGGATATTGAGTATGAAATACATCTGCCTAAGAACAGAAGCATTAAAACTCAGTAACTTACTGAAAAGGTGCCAGCCTTAGAATGCCGGTAATTATGTGGGAAGATATGCAAAGTTTTGACTTCCTAATTTTACCTACACCTATTCTTCTGGGAATGTAACACATATCAATTACTTGTACCGCAAACCTTTTCTTATAACTCCCCCCACCCCACTCCTGCAAAACTGAGCAATGTCAGTGCAAAAAGAAAAAAGAAAAGAAAAAAGAACTGAGTAGCAGCATAAAATAGGAAACTGAGAACACATTCACTTGAAATTGTATCAGATGTACAATATTGTTTTTTAGCTTTTGTGGGGCAAAAGATGGCATTTGAAAAATCAAGAATAGTGGAAATTTTGACTTTTCCTGAAAGTCATCCACTTCATTATCGAAGGGATGGAGCAAGATATACAGCCAGTAGCTTGGATCCAACAAAGCACAAGCAAAACTTTCTAGACCCTGCCATGAAAAGCATGTGTGAGATATGCAACACACCTGCTGAAACCATGGGAGATGTGGCAAATGGTGGCTGAGTTGCAGGAGAAAGGAGGACCGGGTAGAAAATGAAATGTGTATCAAGGGTAAAATGATGTTAAATTACAAGATGTAGTATTTAAGTTAAAAAAAAATTATTATTATTTTGGAAATTTAGAGATTTTGTTGGTAGGGATACAAAGTATGAGGAAAGTCATTAGACCAGATGACCAAGCTCATTCTTTAATTTGGCACTGGGAAAATCCTGCCCTTAAAATGATGTTGGATTACAGATTCACAAATTCTTTACTGCTATAGTAGCTATGACTGTTGATTAATACAATTGAATAATATCTAGTAGACCACAATTTGCCCACCCCTGCTTTAATTACGGGACGTTCACAGTGGGAAGAGTAGCCACAAAAATCAACATTCTTGCACTTATTTTACAGGAATCTTCATTCCTTTATCAAAGATTTTATATCTATCAAAACGTCACCACTGCCGCTTCCCAGCAGGAGCAAGCAAGGCAGAGGAGGGGACATGACATTCACCAGAAAGTTCTTTTTCTGTTTCAGCATTTTCAAATTTGAGGTGTGCATTAGATTTGTTGGCGCACTAGACTCAAGTAAATATGGTACTTATAAAGGTGGTGAAATAATTGCTCTGGATTCTCACATGACCTAGAAGACAGACAATTGTACCATTTCATAAAATAAGGTAAAGTTTTAATTGAAATTTCAAAATACCAAAGGCCTTCCAATTAAAAAGAAAAAAGCATTAGAGGTTGTTTAGAAACAAGATGCTTTCTCTTGTCAAAGTTATGTCAGTGTTAATATACATAAGACATAACTGGATAACTTACTCATTATACGTATCTTGTGAGCAACAGTGTTCATTCTACAAACAAACATGTGCCACTGTTGATATAAAAAATGAAGCTAAATACGGTTGCTAGTATTTTTCAACAACAGAATAAGGTACAGTACTTTCTAAGTTGCAAAGATTTTTCTGACCCATTTGATCATGCCAACTGAATAATTACCAATACTGAAAGTAAAAAAACAGGAGAGCAGGTTCTTCATCTCTTACTTGAAATGCTTGGGACCAGAGGTTTTCCATATTTCAGATTTTTGTGGAATTTTGGAATTATCTATATTTACATATACATAATGAGACATAATGAGATATTTTATGCCCAGCCAGCACATGTGCCTTTTCACTAGACATTGTGGGTTTGCTTTAATCTCTCTCCAGCCTTACTCACTACTTGTGTTTATATGAAACAGGAGGCTAGAGAGACTTAGGATCTGAGAAATAAACTAGCAAGAGCTCGGCCTCAAAGGTGAAGCAAGCAGCTGGCAGCAGCAGCAAAAAGCGTCGGTTTGTAGATTTCCGGAAAAGGGAAGTTCGGTTTTTATAGATTTAATTACTAGAATACTTGCAGGTTTATGCCTCTAAAAATTGGTGTGCAAAAAAACCCTCATACAGTGCACATTGCATTTTGAAACACTAATTTTACTGGTTCTATTTATTTGGGTGATACTATCTTAGCTGAATTTGAGGTAGATAAACTCTTCTGACTGCCTCCCAAACCAGAAGTGTTTGGCTCCTCCCTTCACAACATGCAACCATTAAAATCTCTATTAAACCATATATATTTTTTGTTTTGTCCAAACCAGAAAAAGCCAGAATTTTAAACTCGTTGCACACAATGGCTGAAGATCCTGGCTTGCTTTGATGCTGATGACAACAATGTATTTCCTGATTCAGGAAAATCAGAAACAATTGCTTGGTTAATTGCAGCTTGTAAAAAGAA